TCTCTCTTTTTGTCCTGATCCATTTCTATAAAAACCTGTCTGAAAATGAGCTGATCAGATTTTGGCCACTTTATGATGTCATAACGATTTTTTGGCTTGTGTAACCATTAGCCAATCAGCAACCAAGGTAACCCCCGTCCCCTCCACCTTATCACCTGAATCTCCTCCTAGAGCACCATTGTGTTCTTTTTAACCAAATCTCTCTCAGAGGGGCGTGGGGAGGGGCTCCTTATTTTCATCTAAAGTAACAGACAGAGAATCAGCACCTTGGAAACAGGGCTGAAACAGAGGGGATGCTGATGTTTGATGTTTCAGCCAATCAGAGACAGGCTCTGTATATATCTGAGACCTATTATATATTGATGAAAAACAGCATAATAGGGGACCTTTAAAGGTATCAATGACAAAATCACAGTTCTCCTCTATTCATCAACTTGTATTTGCAAAAGCATGATCAGCCACGCCACCATGGAGCCTCATAATCCTTCTCCTGGTTTAGCATGAGTCTTATTTCCTTCCACTTTCCATCGCCCCGAGCAGGCTGGGTTAGTGGAATAGCCTCAGGTCCGAGCTAGGTTTATTTAAGCTCTCCTCTCGGCTCTACTTCTGGTCGGGTCACTCTGCCCTCGTTCTGTTAGTTGTCCGGTCTGTCTCACTGGATCGATGGTTCGAAGATGCCTTAGGCGCTGATCTTTTTAAGGTCCGCTGAACTTAATCCAATCACCAAGCTCCCTTCCCACAATGTTAATGAGTGAGTATGTCAATTGCCAAAGGTGCTTCAAGAAAAAAACAGGACAAGAAATAAACGAAAAGGCAACAATTCAATAACGATACATCAAGGTTTATTGGAGCTACTAGCTGTTATTGGTTTTGACCTTGAGATAGAAGTATAGGATGTATGTTGTCATATGTGGCACGGTAGGCCTATTATCAATAATTCTGTATATAACCGGGCCTTCTCCTGTTCGATATACATCCACAGTTAGTTGTATGTGTTCATTTCACACTTTTGGCCTCTGTTACGTACTTCAGGACAAAAGGACTGAATGTTCCTAAAGAGTTTTGAAGAGCTCCCTAACGACTCTCCACTAGCACGCTACTTTAAGCTAGCTCAAGGCTAGCTTTTGAATTTTGATGTCAAATAAAAAGGTGTTATGAATAGAAAAGAGCTTACCACACTACTCTTCAGCTTCTCTGGATTTTGAGGAAGACTAGTAGAGTTTGGTCTCTCTTTTATCTTTTGTCTGGGTTTTGTCCTTAGCTTCAGTTAGCTTAGCCTAGCATTGCGCTTTTGTGCTGTGTCATTAGCTGTTAGCCAAGTTAGCTTCTCTTGTGCCTTTTCATCTCTTCTTTGTTTATTTTCTTTGTCTTTCTTACAAACAATTGCTCTCCTATTGCAATTTTCTTTGCTTTTAGGTATTGATTATTTAATAAATGTGTAGGTTTATCTCCTGTAAAAACAATGTGTTATGTTTTTTTTCCAGTACCATATACTCTGTCCTCAACAGCAAATTGTAAACCTTTACAAACCCGTAGTCCGGATTAACCACAGGGTGCACTGGGCACGAGCCCTTGAGCAAGAGAGGGCCCTCAGTGACAAGAGAAAAAAAACCGTCTCTGTACTGTAGGTCTCACTACGCTCAACTATATTACTACGCAGTGGCGGTCTATAGCCGAATCACAACCCCACCTTCACTCATGTCACATTGACATTGTGTTACGTGAGCAGAAAAAATGGATGGTGCCGGTAGCAGCCGAACGCCCAGCGGGGCAGCGAAAAGAAAGAAAAATAAAGAAAAGGAAGAGAGAGTGGCGGCTGCATTAAAACATTTCCCAACAATAAATAGCTTTTTCAAAAAAGCTTAAAGTGACGAATTAGGCCAGCAACCACAAGGAACAGTGACGGATGTTGTTGAGCTAGCGAGCAATGTTAGCATTTTGATGAACTTTTCACAGACTTTGCAAAGAAAAGGGCAAGAAACACTTCTAAAAGGTAATCCATTGATTTGAGGGATTTTCTTACAAACACACATTCTCTCTCTATTGCTTACACACACACACACACACACACACTTCTATCACATATACTGATCACTTAGTTGAGCAACCACATACTTTCAATACATGTTTTACTTTTGTAACTCTCGATGTTGGTGACAAATAGAACTCCTCGTGTACTTGTACAGCCAGCCAGTCATATTTGGCATTTGAAGTGGGGNATGTGCATGATGTAAAAAGTGTGTACTGTGTGTAGAAACGCATGTGTGTGGGACCTTTATTAATCCCCTGAGGAGGAAATTCAGTTTCCACTCTGTCGTACACACACATGCGTTTCTACACACAGTACACACTTTTTACATCATGCACATATATACACAAATACACACACAGTTATATGCACACATGCAGTT